AAAAGAAAATGAATGAATGAATGAATGAAGCCCAGTTTAACTCATACCTCATAATGGTAATCCATACAGGTGAGGTCCGTCCAGCAGCGGTCGCCTCTGATCTTGATCAAACCCTGGACAAACACAGAGAAACAAATCTGCATATTAATATCCTGCATATAAATTAACCTTATTTCTGGTTGTGAATTGCATTATGGGATGTTGATCTCTGACAAGCATATTAATGGTGGCAGATTTTAAACATGCATAACCCCTGATAGCTGATATTCTGCTGTTGCTTAATGGGATACAGCTCCTGCCAAAAGTTAACAAGAATTATTTATTTATTAAATTACCCATTAAATTGTATTTTATTAACATCTACCCCCACCCAAGCCATGAACCCAACCCTCAAAGTAATATAAAAACAGTAATTATGCTGATTTATATGATATATATATATATATATATATATATATATATATATATATATATATATATATATATATATATATATATATATATATATATATATATATATATATATATATATATATATATATATATATATATATATATATATATATATATATATATATATATATATATATATATATATATATAGATTACCTATTTATTGCATTTTATCAACCTATACTCCTACCCTAACCCTCACAGTAATGTAAATATTCATATTATTTATTAAAATTACCCACCAAATTGTATTTTATTAATATCTACCCCTACCCCAGCCATAAATCCAACCCTCACAGTAATGTAAAAACAGCAATTATGCTGATTATTATTCATATTATCAAATAAATTACACATTAAATTGTATTTTATTAACATCTACCCCTACCCCAACTGTCAAAGTAATGTAAAAACAGAAATTATACAGAGTATTATTCATATTATTTATTAAATTACCCATTTAATTGTATTTTATTAACCTGTACTCCCACCCTAACCCTCACAGTAATGTAAATATTCATATTATTTCTTAAAATTACCCATTAAAATGTATTTTATTAACATCTACCCCTTCCCCAAGCATAAATTCAACCCTCACAGTAGTGTAAAACAGTAATTATGCTGATTATTATTCATATTATTTATTAAAATTCATATTTAATTGTATTTTATGAACATAAACTCCTACCTTGACCTTCAAAGTAATGTAAAAACAGTAATTAGAGAGAGTAATATTCATATTATTTATTAAAATTACCCATTAAAATTTATTTTATTAACGTCTACCCCTTCCCCATTCTTAAATTCAACCCTCACAGTAGTGTAAAACAGTAATTATGCTGATTATTATTCATATTATTTATTAAAATACCCATTTAAATGTACTTTATGAACATATACTCCTACCTTGACCTTCACAGTAAAGTAAAATAGTCATTAAACAGAGTAATATTCATATTATTTCTTAAAATTATCCATTAAAATGTATTTTATTAACATCTACCCCTACCCTAGCCATAAATCCAACCCTCACAGTAGTGTAAAACAGTAATTATGCTGATTATTATTCATATTATCAAATAAATTACACATTAAATTGTGTTTTATTAACATCTACCCCTTAACCCAACCGTCAAAGAAATGTAAAAACAGTAATTAGAGAGAGTAATATTCATATTATTTATTAAAATTACCCATTAAAATGTATTTTATTAACATCTACCCCTACCCAAGCCATAAATACAACCCTCACAGTAGTGTAAAACAGTAATTATGCTGAATATCATTAATATTATTTATTCAAATACCCATTTAATTGTATTTTATTAACATAAACTCCTACCTTAACCATCAAAGAAATGTAAAAACAGTAATTAGAGAGAGTAATATTCATAATATTTATTAAAATGACCCATTAAAATGTATTTTATTAACATCTACCCCTACCCAAGTCATAAATCTAACCCTCACAGTACTATAAAACAGTAATTATGCTGATTATTATTCATATTATTTATTAAAATACCCATTTAATTGTATTTTATGAACATAAACTCCTACCTTGACCTTCAAAGTAATGTAAAAACAGTAATTAGAGAGAGTAATATTCATATTATTTATTAAAATTACCAATTAAATTGTATTTTATTAACATCTACCTCTACCCTAGCCATAAATTCAACCCTCACAATAGTGTAAAACAGTAATTATGCTGATTATTATTCATATTATCAAATAAATTAAACATTAAATTGTATTTTATTAACATCTACCCCTACCCAAGCCATAAAACCAACCCTCACAATAGTGTAAAACAGTAATTATGCTGATTATTATTCATATTATTTATTAAAATACATATTTAATTGTATTTTATGAACATCAACTCCTACCTTGACCTTCAAAGTAATGTAAAAACAGTAATTAGAGAGAGTATTATTCATATTATTTATTAAATTACCCATTAAACTGTATTTTATTAACATCTACCTCTACCCAAGTCATAAATCTAACCCACACAGTAGTGTAAAACAGTAATTATGCTGATTATCATTAATATAATTTATTAAAATACATATTTAATTGTATTTTATGAACATAAACTCCTACCTTGACCTTCAAAGTAATGTAAAAACAGTAATTAGAGAGAGTATTATTCATATTATTTATTAAATTACCCATTAAATTGTATTTTATTAACATCTACCCCTTCCCCAACCATAAATTCAACCCTCACAATAGTGTAAAACAGTAATTATGCTGATTATTATTCATATTATCAAATAAATTAAACATTAAATTGTATTTTATTAACATCTACCCCTACCCAAGCCATAAATCTAACCCTCACAGTAGTGTAAAACAGTAATTATGCTGATTATCATTAATATAATTTATTAAAATACCTATTTAATTGTATTTTATGAACATAAACTCCTACCTTGACCTTCAAAGTAATGTAAAAACAGTAATTATACAGAGTATTATTCATATTATTTATTAAATTACCCATTAAAATGTATTTTATTGAAATCTACCCCTACCTCAACCCTCACAGTAATGTAAAAAAAAAACAGTAATGATCATTGTACAGCGTCACAAAAAAATGATGCTATATTATTGTGAGTATCCACAACTGTATCCCTTCTAGACACTTAACCCGAGGAGATCTGGATCTCAATGAAGCAGGAAAACCAGCGATGTGTTCAGTCACAAAAAAAAGTGAGTTTCAGCATAAACATGGAGAAGGAACAGTCGGACCATTCTCAAACCCTGAGGAACGCCTGCATCAGTGACTCTCGCTGCTTATCGGCCGCATTCCCGCATTAATGACATTACGCATAATGCAATAAGGAAACTTGGAATGAGTATTAGTTCCCTAAAATGCGATTGCACTAATGTGAAAATGACTGACTCCCACCCTCAACCCACCTATCAGATGGCCAATAAATAAAGCCAGCATTAAGAGCTGCTTATGTGTGTGTGTGTCGCTGCTTTAATGACAGCGATTCACAGCTCACACACATACGCACTTATTTACACACATTACAAAATAAATCAGATTAAAACCACAGATACCAAATCATAGGGGACTCGTCGTTTATTCCCATGCATAAAGAGCATTTTAAGAGCTGCTTTTTAAATGGTTTTCATAATTCACATGATTAAACATGCAACAAATAATGATTTCTGTTTAAAAATAATCATAATTAATTGCATTTTACTCTTCACTTTTTTTTATAATAAATAAATAAATAAATAAATAAATAAATAATAATTAGTTGCATTTTAAGGCATTTACTCTTCACTTAATATCAGTCTTAAAAATAAACCCCAAAAATATAAATATAATGCATTTAAAAGTGAAAATGGATCAGAAATATGCAGTCTGGTGGAGATGCTGATGTGACATTTACATAAACATTTACATATTTGCATATAAATTATTAATAACTCCCAATAAAGAAGAGTATTTTAGATATTAAACTGCTTTTTTTGACTTTTAATAATTCACATGATTAAACATGCAACAAATGCATGTTTTCTGGTAATAATATTAATAATCAATTGGATTTTAAGGCATTTACTTAAATTAAGCTGATATGATTTTAACATGGTCAGAAAGTGACACATTTCTGATTATTACTACTTACTTAAAATGATTAATAAATTATAAATTCTCATCCATTTAAGAGCATTTAAGATTTTAAACTGCTGTTTTTTCATGGTTTTAATAATAAATAAATAAATAAATAAATAAATAATAATTAGTTGCATTTTAAGGCATTTACTCTTCACTTAATATCAGTCTTAAAAATAAACCCTAAAAATTTTAATATAATGCATTTAAAAGTGAAAATGGATCAGAAATATGCAGTCTGGTGGAGATGCTCATGTGACATTTACATGAACATTTACATATTTGCATGCAAATTATTAATAACTCCCAATAAATAGGAGTATTTGAGATATTAAACTGCTTTTATTGACTTTTAATAATTCATATGATTAAACATGCAACAAATGCATGTTTTCTTTTAATAATATTAATAATTAATTGGATTTTAAGACGTTTACTTAAATTAAGCTGATATGATTTTTACATGGTCAGAAAATGACACATTTCTGATTATTACTACTTACTTAAAATGATTAATAAATTATAAATTCTCATCCATTTAAGAGCATTTTAGATTTTAAACTGCTGTTTTTATGGTTTTAGTAATAAAAAAATAAATAAAATAAAATACATACATATATATATATATATATGTGTGTGTGTGTGTGTGTGTGTGTATTTTATATATATATATATATATATATATATATATATATATATATATATATATATATATTCTGATGGCAGCAGGATAACGCAGCATGTCATAAAGCTCAATCATCTCAGACTGGTTTCTTGAACATGACGATGAGTTCACTGTACTCAAATGGCCTCCACAGTCACCAGAGCTCAATCCAATAGAGCAGCTTTGGGATGTGGTGGAACGGGAGATTGGCATCATGGATGTGCAGCTGACAAATCTGCAGCAACTGTGTGATGCTATCATGGAGCAAAATCTCTGAGGAATATTTCCAGTAGCTTGCTAAAACTCTGCCACGAAGGATTAAGGCAGTTCTAAAGGCAAAAGGGGGTCCAACCCGG